CTGCAGTCCCTAATGAATAGTCCCTGTCCAGAATCTTTATAGGCCCCCTTCAGATACTGGAAGGCTGCTATAAGGTCTAAACATACTATAGTATCATCATGTTCATCTGCTTTATCTTTAATACGCTACTGAAAATCCTGAAGTTGTAATATTTTGGGGCTTGCAACATGAGTCATCTCATAGAGTTTCATGAGCTTCTGCTAGCATTTTAGGTCCTCATATCTGTCAGGGAGCAGCAAGGGCTGGCTGATCCCTAAGGGGTAAGAAGAGGTCAACCAAAACCACCCTGCCAGGAGGGGTTCAAGTGGAGCTGGACTGAAATGCCCCTTCTCCAGTGGTGGGGGAAGTGCCAGGGAGGTTGGGCAGGGCCAGTAAGGGCTGATGATGCCCTCATGGCCCTAAGAGTATCCCTTTATAATACTTTAGTTGCTAGCATTTTGTTATTATTAAAAGCTCTATGTGCTTGTAAGAAAGAATGTTCTTACTATGTTGATTTTTGTTATATACAGTATAATATTTGAAATGGTATCATAAATATTTTACTACCTCTTTTCTGAAGACCACATTTGGATAGCAATGCAGGAATAGAAAGTTCAAGTGGTCTGTTAATGAGAAGGTGTGTATATATAGTCTGCTATGCTTCATATAAAATCACCTCTGTTTTTTAAGAAATAATTAACAAATTAATAACATCAAAGATATTTCTGTGTCAAGGTGTCATGCATCAGATATAAAGAATTATAATTCAGTACAGAATTTAAATTAGGAGAAATGATATTTGAAGTGAAAACTTCTTACTCTGTTACATATGACTCATTAAGGATGGGGAAAAAACACAGAAAGTAGCGTCCCTCAAATAAAGTCTTTTGCCACAGATGAGTTCTTTTAAAAGTTTTAGATTTTTAAAAAATAGACCTTTTCAAGCCATTGTTCAGAATTTTATTTTGCACAGCTGAAGAATGTTCCCTATTAAGATGAGTTCAGAAATCATTTCCAGAAAAAAAAACAAAAACAAACTAATATAATTTCACTATCTGAAATTCTTTGTTCTTTTGGGGTTTTTACATGTGTTTACAAAGCAAGATTTGCATTGTCCTGTAAACAGACAATATAGCTGAGAAAAGAAGCTGTCCGCTAAGGAGCTAGCTGCCATTGGTGTGTGTGAAGAATACTCACGAAGTCTTCACATAAACAATATGACTTGTTCCACATTTTTCACTGGCTCTGCAGTAGACATTAAACTATTCCTGAAAATGCTTAACAAATACAGGTAATTTTAGAGCAAATTTATATAGCAGACTAACTGCTGTGCTTAATTCATCACACATTCTTGCGGTTCAAGTCAGATTTACAAAGAGTGGGAAAGAAGCCATGGTTGTGTGTATGCTAATGCAAATGAGGAAACAGGAGCAATATCTGAATTACCATAAGAGAGAGGGGGAGGAAAAAAGTCAGCTTTCCAGTTACAGTTGGATTTTAGGGACTACTTTGCTCCAAGACCAAATAATAATCTGAAAGTGGTCTAAGTTTTCAGTACTTCAGGAAACTCTCTGTTCAAGTGTCCCATGCCGCAAGTTTAGGCAGCAAGAACTGCTTTTGAGCTCACAGGACTGGGGCCACAAGAATGGGATGGCATTTTCCAGAGGTAGAAAGGTGGGATGGGCAAGATAGATCTGCCTTTTTAGTTCATTTTCTCATGCATTCAAGTTAACTCTGTGTCAAGAACTGATAATAGGTGATGAAGAACCTCTTCAGGGGTGTTCCTTGGAGTTGCTCATGCTAATGCTAACACTGCATGTATACAATTATGTTCTAAATATGAAGCATGTCTGTTCCTGATACTGATAATGCTGAGCTACAGAAATACATGGAACTCATTTTATAGCACCACATTATCTTATTACATGTAAAGGAAAAACAGCACTACATTACTTTATTATGTGTAATGGGAAAATGGTCTTTATGCTCATCTCTAAATGGAAGATCTGATATACAGCTGTATAATGCCAGCAACAGCAGTAAGAGAACTTTGCCCATTTTTTAAGGTGTGGCTTTTTGTCAGGTATAACCTAAAGCCTTTTTTGTTAAGTATATATACAGAAATTATCCTAATTAATTGTCCTGGTTTCAGCTGGAACAGAGTGGTACTTAGTACTAGCTGGGTTTTTTTCATACTTTATCAGCTATTGGGTGATGTCAGCCTAGAAAATTATATCAAGAAAATAAACATGCTTGTTCCTAGGCTTGTCTGACTTCAGAACAAATGTTACTTATTTACAAATACTTACAGTATTTGAAGAGCTTAATAATCCCCCCTTTTTCCAGAAAAACAGTGTGATAACACACTTCTATCTCCCTTCTGACATTGTTATATCAAATACTTTGTGGATTATCAAGTCTATTAAATTGCATGATGAAGTTTACATCAGAAAGAGTAGCAGATCTGGTGATCCAGAGAGAAAATTATCCAATGTTTTTATACCACAGGTATATTTGTGTCCATATGACTGATGTTTATCTCAGTTTTATACTCATCTTACAGATCTTTAATTCTAGCTAAATATCCTCTGAGTTACTAGCTCCTCTGAGCAGACTACCTTTGAATATCTTGAACCTGTCCTTAGGCACTTCCTGTGGAAAATAGAACTTCAGGTAAACAGTGTAGATAAAATGCTGGGCTGCTTAAATTGTTAGAGTTCTGCCCCTGGGTTTTCTTTCTTCCAGAATTTAAGAGTGCAACTTTATATTTGAAATCCAGAAACTAAGGAATATAGATTTAAGTTCTTAACTTCTTCATCCCTCTTTTTATCTTTAAATAAGACAAAGAAAGGAGAAGAAAGAAGGCTTGGCTCACCTAATTTTTCATTATCCCATACCTGAGAATTTGATATCCAAGCTTTTATTTATAATTAGAGCCTGAGCACAAGAAACCTGAGAATCTTGTTAAGTATTTTCCTAAGGTGAAAGGAAAGAAACATTCAGGTTAGACCATGGATAGTGCTTGGAAGTGTAAATTGCCAAACAGCTGAGCTGGCAAAAATAGGCATAGAAGTACCCTCCCTTGCTAAGGGTGAGATTATTCTGAGAAGACTCTTAGCAGAATACTGGTTAAGCAAGAGGGAAAAGGGCTCCTTAAAAACATATTTCGGCCACACAGCTCTCTTATCAGGACAACCTTCTTTCCCAGAGCAGCAGTTGCACGGACTAATGATCTTCAAAGGACCATAAGACAAGTGAAAATCAAATCAAGTGTTGAGAAAAAGGTCCTTAGCAGCTGCTTTTGTTGCCAGAAGCTCCCTTAATTGCATCACGTTTAGCTCAAACCAGTCACACTGAACACGGTGGTGTCTCACTGATAATTACAGCTTCTTATATAGGAAGATGGACAAGTGATTCTCATCTGCCAGATTCCATGATGCAGAGCTAATTGACAGGATGTTAGAGAGGTCATAGCATGGTCCAGCAAGAGATGAAACACATCTGAACTCTTAGAAATTAGCTCAGAATAATTTCAGACTTCCCGGGGAACTGATTGTCATTTAAAGTTAATCATAGTGAAAACAACTGGGAAGAGTGTTTTTGGCAGAGGCAAGGCCTGGATTCAAAGGAGTGAATTTTAACCTGTAGAAAAATTAAGTGCAAAGCTAATGAATCATTCAGGTAAAAATAAATCTTTATGTATGGCTCCTTAACTCCTTTCTTATCTTGTAAAACTTTCACGAACAGGAAGAACCAATATCTTCACATATAAACACAAAGTAGCCTATCTAACCTAATATGCTCAGTGCAGGATGCCCAGGGAAGAACCTAAGAATGAGTATATAATGATTTTCAGATTATTTTTTTTTTTTACCAGGCCCTTAGTCATTCCTAGCTAAGGCACTTTCCCAGCTGTTTTTGTCAGGTGTTTTACCTATGCTTAGTTGCCAGAAGCATTAATGTACCTAAGGTCTCGCTGCAAGCTTCAGGGGAAGTACAGTGTGGTATAAGGTGATTCTATGGAGGAAAGTGCCTCTGCAGTAGCAGCAACCACCAAATTTTCCCGCTTCTCATGTACTCATCACCTTCCAATGACAGCATGATAAGTAAGCTCTTTTTTTTTAGGCTGGGTTTCTCATGGCTATCTGTTGAAGCTCTTCCCTTTTCCCCTGCATCTGTCCTTCCCCTGGCGGGTGGATCTGGCTCCTCATTCTTCAGGAGGAGAATTCAGTTCTGTCTTCATTTCTCAGATTCCTTAAGCTGGCTGTGAACACAGGATATGCTTACGCATATATATGTAAACATTCCTGGAATGCTTAAATATAGTAGGATGCTGATAGCAATGTAGTCATGCTGCAAACTGACTCCAAAAATGTTAAGACTGTACTTAACGTCATACCATACTTAGCTTTGTTCTGCATCAGTTTGATCACTGATGAACCTAGGACAATCGCTAGTAGCACCTGTCAGGTACTACTGGTGGGTGGGTCAGGGTTGTTTGTTATAGGACCTCACCTCCCAGTGCTCTCTTTCTTTGCTTTTTCGAGAATAATACCTCTTACCTTCAAAGAAATGCATGGCTGTCTTTGTAAGGTTTTAGTAAGTGCAATCCTAACACTGTAGGTCATGCAGGTTAATAGAATAACGTAGTATAGTGTTGATTAAGTAGTTAGAAAAGTGTATGTTAGCAATATGTGGAAAAGGCTAACCAGGTTTGTATTAAAGTTTTTGAATTTGTAACTTTGTAATATCCTGAGGAAACAAAATGTATTTTGTATAAATTAAGTTCAGCTCTGATTTCTAAAGCAGGGATTCTATGCACAAAGATTTTAAGCTCAAGACAGCAATCTTGTTATTCTTTTACATAAAAATTTGACTTGTAAAATACTTTGTGAAATCATTAAAGAGGCTATTATGTTTGACAGAACTCCCCTCTCAGCATGCATGTTTATATTTAGCTCTAACTTAATTCTACCTCAATTTTTTGTTCTCTCATTTATTGTCTTATACATGTTTCCCAGGATAGCCCACTGGTCTTACAGTCTGACAGAAATGTAACAGTGAATGCAAGAAATCACATGGGACAGTTAACTGGACAACTGACAGTAGGTGAGTGTTCTTTATTGACTGTTGTGTACATCAGTTTAGATTTATGAATATTATTGCTGAATAGAAAAAAATTCATCACCATACTCAAACAAAAAAACAATGTGTACAATGGATTAGAAGAGCATGATTCAGTATTAGCTGAGGGCAGGGAAAGTAGAAATTCCTCCAAATATTTAAAACAGTTTAATGGAAAACTATAATCTTTGAGGTAGCTGTAACAAAACAAACTAAAAAAAAATAAAAATCAGCAAAACATGTTTCAATAACAGTTTTGGTGGGGAAAATAATTATCATATTCTCACAAGTTCTGTCAGTCTTCCATTGCTTCAGTGGGAACTGGTTTGCTCCCATTAGTCTTGCAGTGCAGCTGCATCAGCATATATTGCAAACAGCTGGAGTAGCAGAATGTAAAAAAAAAAAACAAAATAAAACAAGAATCCAACTGCTTTCCTGGTCATTACAAAATTCTAGTGGAAAATGATCATACTGCCAGCCCCTGTATAAAATGGTGGCAAATATTTTGCAAAATATAAAATACAGCAGATCAGAGTTCCAAATGAAATAGAAATAAAAAATCCTGTACTTATCTGTTCTGCTTTTCATGAGTTTTTTCCTTTAAGTTTAGCACGTTATGCCGCTTTTTTAGCACAAATCATACTTACTATATAAATAAATATGAAATAATATTTTTTATATTTTCAATACTAGGATAGTACTGAAGATATTCATTGCTTTTTAAGAATATTGGCCAGAAAGTTAGTACAAAGCAATGTTCTAGATATGCTAGAAAACAATATATATTGACTGGGAATAAGATGAAAAATAATACAAGCAGGTATGTCTAAGTTCCCAACAGCTGTATAAATTTGAGGAGACGCCCCTTAGACTCCGTGTTTCTTTGTTGTTGTTTTTTTTTTTTCACTTCTGGATTAAGCTGTGTTTTACCTACTCATGTGCCGAGGCTACGCTCATGAATAGTGTTAATTTAACTCTAGTTTTAATCTACACCGAGCTTTCAAACTGGCTGGAGATAGCTGCTTCAAGTTGTAAAAAATCTTTGGCAAGTGCATACATTGACACACCATCTGCACTGATTTCCCTGAATGACCACATCAAATGAGTGTGCAAAGGTAACCAGACCTGCTAGCAGATACAGACAGATGAGGAAAATTAAGCTAACACCTGTTCTAGCCATATTGTACTTGCCCAGTGTGCTTATGGAACACAGTTCTGTCTCTTCCAATAGCTCTATTATTAAAACCTTCCGCTTCGGTTAGTAATTGCAAAAAGGTGAGGCGTCTATGGCAGACATTCACATTGACAAAAATAGATATGGTATTTTGATTGCTGACACCATTCCTGCTGAGTGAATCCAGCAATGAAAATGTATGTGAGTATATTGAGATTGACTTAAAGGCGTCACACTAGAGGTTAATATTATAAAAACATAAAAGGCCTGAAGAAAACATGTGTTCTTATGTTACCATCATTAGGGTGAACATCTATAAGCTTCTTGGTGTGCAGCTGGTGCAGAGTGTCTGGAGAGTGGAAGTTTGCTAGATTGCAATATTGTATTTACATTATTTCTTTTTCTTTATCCTCTTATTTTTCAGGCTGTATTGCCTTTATTCTTTCTTATATTAATAGAAAAATCTTCTTTACTTTTTATAAAATCCTCATACAGCACTGAATGCCTATTAAAATATTCCTTGTTACTGATTAATATTTCTTACTACAGGTACTCATATCTACCAGTGCCATCAGTATAAACCTGAACTATTGGTAATCAAGGATATTAACAGGCTCTTGAAATTCAGAATGTATTATTCCTGCCTTCCCTTATAAAAAAATTTCTTGTGCAAGGTAGAGCACTGAAAGACACATTTTTGCCTAGCTAAAACATGGAGATCTCTGCTGAGAGAAGGGGTGGGGGCTTTTCTATACCACGTTTGCTGACATCAGTAAATATTTTTTCCTGTTGTAAATATGGTCTGGAAAGTCACAGACTTGATAAAAAATGCTCTTTGTCCCTCCACTAGTGCTGCATGCTGAAGCAGTTATGTGTGTCTGCTGAGTGAAAGGGATGAAAATAAATAGTGGAGGAAGCAGTGAGAAGAAATTTTTAATATTAAAAAAAAGGAAATTATTATGCCTACTTAACAACTTTAAAATGTTCTTCTCTGTTAACTTCTTTGAAAAGTTGAATAATTAAAAATCCCAAAACAAACCAAAAAACCCAAAACCCAACACTACAAAATTTATATGCATAGCAGGGACATTCTGAAAAGAAAGAAGGATGATTGTACATTTAGGTGGATGACAATTCACTTCCTATACATGTAATACCATTGGCATTTTATCTGTATTTCAGAGGACATGCATGGTTTTACAAGGCAATAAATACGCTGGTCTCTTTGTTGTTTAAATTGCTGTTGATGTTAAATTTTATGTCAACTAAAATTTCTTTTTTTGGTGTTTGGAATTGTGCCATGCATGGGTAAGACAGTCTTAAAGAGGATCTGATTAAAACTTTAACTGCAAAATAATGTAAAGAATTAGGTGTAGGGCTGCGAGAAAGATGGCTATATGATCATCCAGGGAGATGGAAAAACTCCAGTCCGCTCTTGATAACAGGTATTCAATTCTGTGAGTTATTGTGCGAGTTATTTCTGTAAAGTACATCATTAAGACATCTTGAAACACATCAAAATCTAGGAGGAGTGAAGAAAAAATATGGTAAAAAAAAAAATAGCTTAGACCACTGGATGATTCAGTGGTTACATGTTTGAATGGTGTCAAGTAAAATTACGGCTCCAGGTCTTACAAAACCAAGGTTGCATTCATTACTATAGTACAGTGTATTTATACTGACACTGAAAATTGTACCAAGAGAAAGTCACATGCGTAGCAATGCTGTCTGTTGAGATCTACACCAACTGGGCTAAAGTGTTGGTTTGTGCTCTGGTCTATTCATGACATATGGTCAGGAAACTGCCGGATTTGTAACTGGATCTCCAAAAGGACTCCACAGCCTCCAGTTTTTAGACATGCTATTTAAGACCAACAAAGCAGATGTTAGGGTGGTGAGGCACTGGAAAGGGTTGCCCAGGGAGGTTGTGAATGCTTCATCCCTGGCAATGTTTGAGGCCAGGTTGGACAAAGTCTTGGGTGGCATGGTTTAATGTGGGGTGTCCCTACCCATGACAGGGGTCCTTTCCAGGATCTTAAGGTCCTTTCCAGCGCTAACTGTTCTATGATTTTATGAATAGCTTAAGCTCTTCTTTTGGGTCACTTTATCATTACTAAGGCTCTTCTCATTGTAACCTGTAATTTCTTTGCTAAATTACTTGCTTCGCTTATACTTTTTTACGGACTTTTTTGTACCTTAAATGGAATTTTTTGTTGAAAATTACTCTGTTGTCTAATATTTTCCTTGGTTTAAGTTAGTAATCAGTCCAGAGAATATTTAGATAACTCTCACAGAAAAATATTGTACCTTCTGAGTATACAAATTTTATAGTATTATGTTTCTTACTAAAGTTTTATAGTAAGCTAGACACTTTCCAAATATAGGAATATAAACAATTTATATAGGAGGTGAAAATACAGCTCATATGCCAGTCTGTGGTGCAGATCTATTGTCAGAGATTTTAAATGACAGTAATGAGAGGTAACTTGCCCTTTCTTAGTACAGGTTAGCTACCTTGTACTTATCTGCACAGTTAAAGGATGTCTTTCAGCTTCAGGAACACTGCAGAAGGTACAACAGAGTGGTGCCTGACAGGCCATATGGCTTTACGTCTCCTCCTGGCAAAGTACATGAGATGAGCCAAGAGACAGTCAGAAAGCGTGCCATGTTGCTCATAACAGTTGAAATGTCCAGCTGGAATCTGAGTCTCATCCCTTCTCATAATTTACTGTGCAATGTGATGTTGCCTCTGTTTATGTCTATCTAGTCCCTAGAAAAATCTTTTTACAAACCATCTGTGCTATAACAGGTTTTGTAATAGGACCTCGCACAAAATATACTGATATACTCTTAATGACTTTGTCTCAACTATCATGAGAATCTACTCACATTAATTAATTATATTGAAGTATGGTACTAGGAAAATGTGAAGCCCTGATAAAGAGTCAAAACTTCAACCTCTTGCCAGCACTTTGAGGGGCCTGACAAAGGAGCCTTTTAGAAATTATCGTGTTAATTTATTTGAAATTCTTCCATGTTTCTCCTGCATTTCTTATCTTCCAACTGTAGAAAGCCTTTCGACTTGTTCGCTTTGATTCAGCATCAAGAAGCAGTAGTAGCTAATGGACTAGTAAAAAACAGTTGCAAACAACTCTTTTCTAGTTTTTACTTCTGTTTGTCTTGTAAGTTGCATCATTCTCTGTGTTAATCTGCATATGTACATTTGACATTCAGCAGTGGGGAACTTATTCTCTTGTGATTAGGCCTTTAATTAGCTGGACTAAATACTTTTTTATACATCCATTACATAATTAACTCATAAAATTATTAACCATACTTGATGTCACCAGTCATTTACAGTTCACTTGTGCTTGGGTAACAAGATCCCTTTGAAAGAGAGAGGTACTTTACACAGTACTTCAGGTGCATTTAGTCATTTAGGTACATTTTCAATTTTTAAGCAGTATCTTTCATGTCTTTATGATAATTTGTATGTTACGTGCAGACATAACACTACACCACTGTTTAATATTTGATGTACTCTATGGTGTAAAACACATCTTACATCTCCTTTATGAATTGCCTCAAGAAAACTGTGCTATAAAAATAGAGAAGGAAGATATTCCCCTGTCACTTATTAGGACTAGGTGGTAATTCTTTGTGGTAGGTATGGCCATTATTTAACCTGAAATCTCTTTCCTGAAATACAAGAGCATATAGTGTCAGTTGATATGTCAAGAATTAAAAATTCCCCCATAAATAAATAAAAATGCAAGCAGAAGTATTTAATATTTAAATTATGTACGATTCC